TCTAATGGTCAAAGAGAACAGGTCTTTTATCTGTATCTTTTTTGTTGTGGTGTTTTCCAAAGGAAATAGACATCATGCTCTATGCGACGTGTTTCTATTGAACTATAGAAACACTCATGAAAGTTTGGGAGAACTCCAAAAGCTGTGGAAACACATGCCTGTCAGTTTGTGTTCCCACAGCATTTCTTGTTCTCCACATCCACTTCTGTTTCTATACTAAGCCAATATAATCAGAAAACAATGCTTGTGATAGAGCGTTAGTAGATTTATACTAAAACTCAATAGAAACAAAATTTGTGTTTTCTATTTCTTAATTAATTTGTCTGTTATAGTGTTTGTAACAGATGACATGATTCTAATGTTTCAAAATTGCACTTGCAGAATCATCTGATGAAGTTCATGAGTCTTCAAATTTGTGCTCATCATCCTTTGGGAGCTCATGAAGATGACAAAGGCAGCTGGAGCAACAACATTAATCACTGGAAGGTATCAGATATGGTTTAAAACGATCTAAAAGGAACAGTACTGTTTAAGAGTTGGGAAGGTGGAGATGGACTAAAGCCGATGCTTGAGAAATTTAGACCAAAATTGTCAAGATGCAACAATAATTATTGTTGTGGAAACTTAAAGAGAAACAGAAGAATTTTTATATAGCTACTATGAACAGGTTATGACCACATCCCTTGTTAAAAGCAGTGGAACCATTAAAAAGTTAAAATCTATCATTCATAGATCAGACCTGTCATGTCGCATTTTGAATCCCCCACTTCACCTCCTATGGCTTAGATCTCTCATCCTCGCACTTTGAGTTAAGTTAAATTTTAAAATTCAAGTTTTGTCATCAACCAGCCATTTCTATTATTTAATTTGTTTCATTAGAAATGTCTCCTAAGATTGTATGATGCAATTGTTGCTGATATTGATCAGTTAAGGAACAAGGTTTCACGAGCTTCCAGGTATGTAACTGACATTATCAATAAAACTATTGCCTCTATTGTAACAATTGACCATATGTTTTGGGGGGTTTGTAATCCTTAATAGTACCTACATGTACTTGTAGCATGTGCATATTGTATGGAATTTAAGTTTTGAATGTTAGAAGGTTTCTTCGATGGTTAAAAATTTGCCACTGAAATAGATGACGCAGTTCAAAATCTTCCTTTGTTCCTTGTTCTTTGGTGTGTTGGGGACAGTTTTCACCAACTACAAGGGGCAAGCTCAGATTATCAAAAGTTGTTAGTTTCTGTTTTTTTGAAAGACCTACCTACATTATCTGTTGCCATTAGTGATAGCGAATTTTCTGTCTACAGTGCTAAACTGGATCCTGGACATACCCCACAATTTATTGAACTTGCAGCTGATGTTTTAAATCAGGTATGATATATTTCGATAGTCACATTGTTGCCATTTTTTCCTGAAAGTAAAAGGAGATCAGATTTGTCTTGTTAATTGGTGAGTTCTGCATGACAACCCCCCCCCCCTCCAAAAAGAGTAAAACTTTAAACGCAGAATGTTATTATGTTGCATGCAATTGGTCAGTGTTAGACAAATGATTGGTGACTCATCTCAAGACCTTGCACAAGACAGTGTTCTGACTTACAATAACTCTCACCAAATGAGAG